TCTTCTTTTGCTTTATTGACCATGGCAAAATCTTTGACTGTGTGGATCACAACAAACTGTGGAAAATTCTTCAAGAGATGGGAATATCAGACCACCTTACCTGACTCCTGAGAAATCTGTATGCAGGTCAAGAAGCAACAGTCAGAACTGGACGTGGAACAACAGACTGATTCCAAATAGGGAAAGGAATATGTCAAGGCTGTATATTGTCACCCTGCCTATTTAACTATATATGCAGAGTACATCAAATGAAATGTTGGGCTGGATGAAGCACAAGCTGGAATCAAGATTGCCGGGAGAAATGTCAGTAACTTCAGATATGCAGATGACACCACCCTTATGGCAGAAAGCGAAGAAGAACTAGAGAGACTCTTGATGAACGTGAAAGAGGAGAGTGAAAAAGTTGACTTAAAACTCAACATTCAGAAAACTAAGATAATGGCATCTGGTCCCATCACTTCATGGCAAACAGATGGGGAAACAGTGGGAACAGTGACAGACTTTCTTTTCTTGAGCTCCAAAATCACTGCCAATGGTGACTGCAGCCATGAAATTTAAAGACGCTCCTTGAAAGAAAAGCTATGACCAACCTAGATAGCATATTAAAAAGCAGAGACATTACTTTGCCAACGAAGGTCTGTCTAGTCAAAGCTATGGTCTTTCCAGTAGTCATGCATGAATATGAGAGTTGGACTATAAGAAAGCTAAGCGCCAAAGAATTGATGCTTTTGAACTGTGGTGTTGAAGAAGACTCTTGAGAGTCCCTTGTACTGCAAGGAGATCAAACCAGTCAATCCTAAAGGAAATCAGTCCTGAATATTCATTGGAAGGACTGATGCTAAAGCTGAAGCTCTATTATTTTGGCCACCTGATGCAAAGAACTGACTCAGTAGAAAAGACCTTGATGCTGGGAAAGATTGAAGGCAGGAGAAGGGGTTGACAGAGAATGAGATGGTTGGATGGCATCACTGACTAGATGGACATAAGTTTGAGTAAGCTCCAGGAGTGGGTAATGGACAGGGAAGCCTGGCGTGCTGCAGTCCATGGGGTTGCAAAGAGTCAGACACAACTGAGTGACTGAACTGAACTGAAACAAATAAAAGGGGGCTTCCCTGGTGGCTCAGATGGTAACAAATCTGCCTGCAACACAGGAGACAGGGGTTCAATCCCTGGGTCGGGAAGATCCCCTGGAGAAGGAAATGGCAACCCACTCCAGTATTCCTGCCCGGAAAATCCCGTGGACAGAGGAGCCTGGAGGGCTGCAGTACATGGGGTCACACAGAGTTGAATACGACGGAGCGACTCACACGCAAACAGATAGAAAAGCATCTCAGGTTAATGAATCAGAAAAATTAATATCGTTAAGATGGCAGTACACCACAGAATGATCCACAATTTCAACACATTCCTTATCAGAATCCCAGCTGATTTCTTTGTGAAAATTGACAAGTTGATTCTAAAATCATGAGGAAGTGCAAGGAACTCAAGAAAACCAAAGTGTCGTGAAAAAGAACAAAGTAGGAGGACTCACACTCTTCCCCATTTCAAAACCAGCAACAGAGCAATAGTGATCAGGACGGGGTACCTGCACAAGCATGGGCATGAATTAATGGGACGGAACTGAGAATCCAGAGGTAAAACCATGCGGCTCTGGTCAGTTGATTTCCTTCCAGTGGGCAAGAATAGTCTCTTTAACTAATGGTGCTGGGAAAATTGGATATCCACATGCAGAAGAACAAAGATTGACACTTGAGTCACACCATTTATTAAAACTAACTCAGAATAGACCAAAGACCTTTACAGAGCTAAAACCCTAAAACTTACCAAAAAAAAAAAACAAACCACCAACCATAGGGTTAAATCTTCCTGACCTCAGATTTGACAAAGAATTAACAAGGAAAGAAAGTGAAAAAAGCCCATGGAATGGGAGAAAATATTTTAAAATCACATATTTAATAAGGGATCTGTATCTAGAACGTGGAAAGGATTTTTACAAGTCAGTAAGAAAATGATAACCCAATTTTTAAATGGGCAGAGTGGACTTTAGGAGGTAGTGGTGGCCCTGAGAGATGAGTCTGGACCTGAAAAGTGGGGGAAGCTTAGAATGTTCCAGGCAGAGGGAACAGCATGAGTAAGTCCTCAGAGGCCACCAAGCACAGGTCAGTGGAGGAGAGCACTTCTGGGTGAGTAAAACTCAGAAAGGGGAGGAGGAGTGGGCCTGAAGGTCAGGGGAGCCAGAATGCAGAGGGCCTTGAGTGCTGGACCACGGAGTCGGGACTTGAGTCTCTCGGCATCGGGGCAGGCTGGAGGCCTGGGTAGAGCACTGGTGTTTGGGGCGCCATGCTTCAAGTTGATTCTTATCTGCTGCAGGTCAGGATGGCTCCAGGTGGCTGCAAAGGAGAGCATGAGTTCTCTTAACAGACTTTCCATTCTAGCTCAGAGTGGTTCATACTTGATTCTGATTTGAATGATGTTTCTGTTCTTAATTAAAACACATAGGAGTAAAAGCTCAAGACAGACACCACAATGAGGCCAAGTATCATGTAGAGGCTAGAGAAGGGAATAGCAGTCTGCTCCAGTGTTCCTGCCTGGAGAATCCCATGGACAGAGAGCCTGGGCTCTGGCAGGGTTGGGATGTACATGTATCATTTATAAATACGATGATAGTTCTTGGCAAAAAAAAAAAAAAAACAACCATTTTCTAAAAACTTGCACAGAGTCATGCATGACATGGAGTTTTTTTGTGATGACATATCCAGAATAATAACTGTACTTTGTACACAGGTCTACCTAATCTGCTTTCTCTAAATTGGCGCCATCATTATGTTCTTTTCCCTTATCAGTCTCCAGACAAAAACTCTGGACTTTTGCCTGTCTCAGTGGGGCTGAGAGCAGCCATGGGAATTTACTGAGATCTGGGAGGAAAAGAAGCGGTATTTGCCTTTAAGTACTTGATGACCCACTGATAAACCCAGAAGCGCTGCTGAGACAGCAGCCAGAGTCACCTGTAGAAAGAAGGACCCCATTACAGCCTCCACCCAGGAGTGATGCTCCCATGTCCCCCCACCTCCCTGCTCCCAGCCCACCCCCAGAGGAGCCACACAGGCCTCACCCTCAGGGTCCCAGGTGGCACAGCCCCTTTTGGGAGCTGTGCTGTTTGGTCTGCTCTCTCAGAGGTCTGGTCCATGTTTATATGATCATGATGAAAACATGCTCTAGATTACAGTGTTCTGACACCACCAGTCAGCAGTCTGTTCCCAGCTTCCTGTCCTGAAATACACCAGACTGCACCAAAGCATGGACTGGTATATGTACTAGCAGAAGTTCAAGGTTTATCAGTGGAAGTGGAATATTATGCAGCAATTTAACAGAATGAGGTAGGAACTTCCCTGGTGGTTCAGTGGCTAAGACTCTAAGCTCCCAGTGCAGGGTGTTCAGGTTCCATCCCTGGTCAGGGAACTAGACCCCAGGTGCCAGAACTAAGAGTTCGCATGCTGCAACTAAAGATCCCATAGGCTGCAAATAAGACCTGGTGCAGCTACATAAATAGATATTTTTAAATGAAAGAACAAGGGAGATCTATGTGGAGCGACATAGGAAAATTCCCAAGATGCACTGTGAAGTTATAAAAGCCAAGTTTTAGAACAATGTGTTACCATTGATATACCTGTGAAAAGCAAACTATTAATACCACACTTGCAAAACTATAAATTATTTCTAGGCTGACGTGGGGGCAAGGGAGGCAGGGAATTGCTTATCTGTATGTGAACATGCCAGAGAGAGCCTGCGAGGCCCAATCACAGCACCAATGAGTGGTTATTTCGGGGAGGGAAGGGAATGAGGGATGGTGTGTTGTTTCCTGTATTTTAATGAAATATAGGAAACATTTTAATGAAATTGCCCATACATTTGACAGTGTTTAAAAAGGAGAGGGAGGGATGTAAGTGTGTATGTGTTTTGAAGTAAAGTCCACTTGAAAACTGGTCCTGAAAAACGTCCATTTGGTTTGTGACCATTGCTGAGATCACAGCAATACTGAAACTGTATGTGGGTCCCCTTTCGACACACACACACAAAATGTGGGTCCAGACATTGTAAAGAATCACGCCACAGAACGTGAATATTAACCAAGAGATAATCAAATATGGACAAAGCTCTACAATTTTGCTTCATCTCAGGTTTTTCAATATGCTTGCCTCCTAAGCCAACCTGTTCTAAAGTGAATATTTTGCTTTCTGTCTGTTTATTTTTTAAACAGAAAAGATTCCAGTCGAAGCACAACCTGAATTGGGAAACTGGGGAGACGGCAAAGGTGAAGATGAATTATCCCCAGAAGAAATACAAATGGTAATGCTGTTCTCTTCATAATTGTGTATTTTTAACTAGTTTTAATAAGAATATTTCATTGAATAGAAGGTCATCCTAAATGCTCTTACCTTATTTTTATACTGAATTTTAAAAATTATAAATAGTTTAGATACAATTTTCCACTTGATTCCTAATTCTTAGTACACTTTTCATATGCTTTAAAATTTACAATAGCATAATTAAGGAAAAAATTGCCTTAAAATAGCATAACTAATATTAGATGTCTTTTTGGCAGCAGTAAAATAGTCTTCTAAGTGAATCTTTTATAATCACTGCTATGGTGCTTTTTAATTGTTTGACTTGCTGGTATATGATAATGTGAAGAAAGTATAAGTAATGACTGCAAATGACAAGTACCACTTTAACTGCTAATACAGCTTTTAGTTACCCATCCCCTAGTTGCCAGTGGCAGCTTATCATCTCTGGTTGGATTTCAAAAGAAAAGTAATAGACCCGGTCAGAGCCCAGTCTGGTCCATTTACAGCAGGGCCCGGGGCGGGGGAGGGGGTGCCGGGCCATGCCCTCGTGTGTGTGTGTGTGTGTGTGTGTGTGTGTGTGTGTGCGCGCGCGTGCGCATGCGTGTGTGTGTGCATGCGCGCGCGCGTGTGTGTGTGTGCGAGTGTGTGTGTGCACTCACGCGTGCGCACAGAAAAAGGGCTGGGGTATTCGTACTGCGCTCATGGCAGGATCGGAGGCCCACATTGGGTGGCAGCTGCTGCTCACTGGAGCCTCATACACGCTTTATACTCAGGGCTCTTTCACAAACATTCGTTCTCTTGGATGAGCAGTGTCCCCTTAAATCATCTCAGAAGCGTGACACTGATTCCAGTGATGACACCATTAGCCACGACTTTCCTGGGACTTGCTCTGGGGGTGCTCTCTCAGAGGCTGTGGGACTCTCTTTGGAACAAAAGGCAGAGCTCCCTGAATTCTGAGCTCAGGAAGTAACTCGGATACCTTAAGGCGGCCTGCCAGGCCCCTGCTTCTATCATGATCCAGATGCACCTCCAATTTGGGGAAAGTGCTCCGTGTTCCGAGTCCAGCAAGCATGCCTCCCGAAGGCCTGCACACGACTCCAAGCAGCAGTCCTCGCTGGCCAATCCAGTCGGGAGAGGTTGAGGGTGATGCCCAGGGTGGACAGTGAGGGCAGAGATGAGAAATGGGAAGTGGGCAGGACTTGGTGATCTGGGGAGGACAGCCGGGCGTGAGAGAGAGAGGGAGGAGAAAGAGCCGGGAGCTTTCTAACCTGGAGATGCAGGATGCCGGCAGTCAGGGGATGATGCCCTCTGTCAGGGGCAGGTGTGGGTCCTGGGAGGTGTCTGGTGGGCGCTGGGATCCCGGGCCTGGGGCTCCAGCTGGAGACGTGACCGTGGGGGACCCCTGACAGCTGGCATTTGAAGGCACATACAGGGTGGAGGAGGGATACACGCCACCTGGGACACAGGGCCAGAGCGGGTCAAGGCGGAGAAGCCATCAGACTAAAGGGCAGTTTGATCATGCTCCCCTATAGTCAGAGGATGGCCAAGTTTTCTGAAATCTCATCATTCTTCAATTTATACAAAATAAGTTTATTACTGAAAATGATGTCATGTGTTCCCCCAGATCATGTAACATGACCACCCTATCTTTACTAAGAGATAAAAATATGTATAGCACTGTCCCTTCATTAAGAAAGAATACATTTCTGTTTAAGCAGAACTAAGCTTCTATTTAAGGATTTTTTAAAAATACGCTGCCCCACTTCATAAAGGAAGTAGCTAGAGGAATGGCAGGCAGTTGTTTGCCAGAGGAGTTGCCTTCCCCCCGCCCCCACCGGGCAGTGGTGAGCAGCAGCGGCTTGTTAATATCCACAGACATGGGCTCAGAAGTTGTTGGCTGCACGGGGGCTGGACCAGAGGAGGGCTGGCAGCAAGGATATCTGTGATCAGCAGATGTTCGGCCCCAGTGAGAGATGATGCAGCAATGTGGGCTTTGAGACCGAGCAAGTGTTGAATCCTCTGTATCACTTACATCCTCTGTAATTTGGGGGCAAGGAGCTCACTGAACCTGAGCTTGGGAGGTTGACAGTGGTTGTCAGGAATGGGGTTATGTATATATGAGCGCCCAGCGGGGTGCAGGGCACACAGCAATGCTCAGCGGCTGTTTCCTTGCCAACAGTGGGAGATTATTGCTGGGCCCGTGGGGTCCTGCGTTCCCTGCATGTTCAGAGGGTGATGTAACTGATGCGTAAGAGAAACACACATTTGCATCATGAGGCTTGTCTTTCCATAATGACAGCTGGAGCACCATGCTTGCCTTTCCTTGTGCTGTCTTGATGGAAGCATCATCCAAAAACGTGCCAGCGACCATTCCTAATAATGCTAGCTACCTCGGCGTCACGAGATCGATGACCCTGGCAATCAGAGCCAGCAGGGCCTCCCTCCTTAATTTTTATTGCGTTATTGCAAGAGGATGGGGCAGAAGGCTGTTCTGTTCATCACTGTTATAACAGGCTGTTTGATGTTCACTTCACTCCTTTCTTAATGGGGGCTCATAGCCAAGTACCATATCTTACCGTCTGACTGACCCAAATCTTATTTAAAAGGCTCAACCCTGAAAATGAAGAAAAAGAAATGCCACACTATTGGTTTTAAATTGGAAAGCGTTACAGCAAATTGTGGTCATAATTCATAGTCACTGTTTTGGAATTTTTCCTCAGGGTAAAATAATGAGTTAAGCTTTATAATAGCAGTTTAATCCATTATTTCACCCACATGAGCTGTTGCTGCTCGTTCCAGAATGGCCCCAGAGCATTATGTAATTCTTCGCATGTTTCCGTTCATCACTCACGATACAGGTGTATTAATGCCCCTGGGTTAATATAAGCAGATGTTTTGTGGTCAGGCTGAGTGGAACCAAACTGTTTTCTGATGTTACGCAGAGAAAAATAACCTCCTTTCTGAGCCCACCTTCATTTTACTTGCCTCCAGTGAAACCACTGCAGTTAGTAATATATTTCTTTGGGATAAGTTTTAAAGACATGAAAGTGACTTCTGTTCTTCAGGTTGCCTGAAAACTGTCCCTTGCCCCTGTGCGCCGAGGCACCCCTGGAAGCACCAGGTGGGTGGCTGGCAGGGCCGGTGGTCTGTGGCCGTGCTCGGCTTACACACTGGGGACACGGGCACTGTTGATAGAATTTGAGCACCACACGGGTGAAAGCTGGGGTCTAGACCCTGGGAAGGTTCACTGGGGCACAGGTGGAGGTCAGGGTGAGGGGCCCAGAGCCACAGGTGTGAAGGTGTCTGGACAGATCCAGCATGACTGGAGGAGCCCAGAGCAGATCTGGGGAGTGGGCCGCAGGCCAAGGGGCAGGCTGCCCTCTGGCCGAGCCCCTGCGGGTTCGCCGTGGTGCTCCAGTGAGCCCTTCTTAGGCCTTGGCAGTGCAGATGTTCCTCCTCATTGGACACTCGGAGGCCTTGGGAGGAATGGCTGTTTCTGGATTAGAAAGGGATTTCTGTAACAACGTATGCACAGTGTGGATCTGCAGCCTTTAAACCAGATTATAAACCCTTTCGGGAGGCCTTGTTTGAAAGTCTGACCGACTTCTAAGTGGAATAAAGCAGTTAAGTCATACCACCTACTATGCCCAGCAGTGTCTCAGCACTTGAGCGTTTATTAGTTTAGACGCCCCATGTGGTAGGGACTCGTAACCACGATCCCTCCCACTGTTTGTTGGGGGTTGCCGGGGGTCTGACCAGAGGGAGAGCACCGTATTCTGGGGTGAGACCCAAACGGTGTAGAGTGGAATGGCCCAGAAAGACAGGCTGGCTGCCACCATTTCTCCCCGGGCCAGGCCTGCCCACCCTCCCCGTCATCTAGGCCTCTCGGCCCCTTTTCAGGGACACAGAGATGGAGGAAGTGCCGGCAGGTGTGTCTTCCCAGGCCCTGGAGGTCCCCCGTCCTTGGTGCTGACTGTGGGGCTGCGGCTGCACGGTGCCCGTATGGGGCCAGGGAGCCCCGCCCTGAGTGCTGTGCGTGGACTCCTCTCGCCCAGAGACGGACGTGACCCGGCGCCACGTGGTCCTCGCGAACTCGAAACGGGTACTGTGCCGCGTGCTTAGTCGCTCAGTCGTGTCCAACTCTGTGCGACCCCATGGATCGTAGATCATAGCCCGCCAGGCTCCTCTGTCCAGGGGGATCCTCCAGGGAAGGAGACCATGCCCTCCTCCGAGGAATCTTCCCAACCCAGGGATCGAACCCACGTCTCCCGCATTGCAGGCAGATTCTTGACCAACTGAGCCACCAGGGAAGCCCAGGGAGGGTCCTCCAAAGCATTTAACGACTCATTTTGCTTATCCAGAATCTGAGTCCTGGAGAGATGACATAACAAGAATAAACACTCACAGAGGTGAAGTTGACCTCCTAACAACTCTTCTAAGTACTCCAGCTATCCCTAGTTTAGTGATGAAGACAGAGGCTCTGAGAGGGTTACCTGCCCAAGGGCAAACAGCTTAGAAGATGGAGGAGCCTTCCCTCCCCACCCTCAGGATCAGGCAGGAAAGGATAAGAATCACCCACCATGTCTGTTCACAAAGAGAAACTGACAGCCACACAGCAGGCCAGTGCCCGGTCCAGGGTCAGCCAGGGAGTCCCCCTGAGGACACAGGAAATGGGTCATGGGAGCCCCTGGCATGTCCCCCACCTCCCCTGGTGTTCGGTGGCTGGCTGCCTCACTCAGCGGATGAGGGGGAGGCGTGCAGGTTTGCCACCCAGACAGCCTCGGAAACCACCCTTCCTGTGCAGGGGAATGCGGGCAGCAGCCTGGCCACTGCCTCGTCTACAGGCCAGATCGCGACAAGAGGCTCCTGTGCTCTGGGCTATGGGAAACAGGTTTGTTGTGTTGGTTTTTTGTTAATGCAGTTTCATTGTAACTCCCGCCCCCTGGATGGAGTCTGCTCTCCATAAAACTAGCCATAGGCACACCTCTTCTGTCATCCCACCTTACTGCTTGATCCCTTCAGGCCTTTGTTTCTCTCACTTCCTCCAGGGATGGGGAACTTCTCCGGTAACTTCAAGAACCCATCTGGCAGGAAGTCAGAGCCAGAATGTGATCCACTCCTGACACAGCTAACCAGGAGCCCCGCAGAAGGAACAGTAACACAAAGGCCTGAATGGAAGCCACATGCCCTTCAGCTGGGGAGGAAAAAAAGCAAGCTTTGTTCCCAAGGATCATTCCAGTAATAAACCACCTCAAACCACTAGTTAATTTTGTTTAGGAATAGTTCAAAAGCATGAAAGGACTGTAGATTTAAAAGATTAGGGCCATATTTTGTCATTAGAAAAATTCAAAGAAAATGCCCCCTGCCAAAAGGAAAAATCCAAAACCTGAGTAAAAGTACCTGAGAGAATTAGTCAAATTAGCATCCACATGCTGAAGTAATTATATTTTTTTCTTAAATACTGGACTCTTTAGTAACTGCTGACAGCTAACAGAGCAGAGTTGTATTCTCTTAAATCGCCTTTTTGATGCACAAATTAGGAGGGCTATCTCAGTACCATGTCAGCAGCTGGCAAGGCAGCCTGCTGTGGTTGGGGTGGCCCTTTGTGGGGCTTCCCCAGCGCTCCCCCAACCCCCTCCCACCCCGCTCTCCATCCTCTGACCCGGTGGGTCTGGGGTGGAGTGGAGGCCTCTGTGTGAGCGTCCCCATGCTTATGGTGCAGGGGTGGAACAGACCAGATCACCTAGGCCAAAAGGGAAAGAGGGCAGACCCAAGGAGAGAGACGTGAGGGCGGACCTTAGACAGCAGGGAAGGCATGAAGACAGCAAGGGTGCCGAGGAGCCCTGGCAGAGGGGCACGGGAAGGCACGGCCAGGACAGCGAGGCTGCTCCCCGGCAGGTGCGGAGGCAGAGCTCAGCACCTCATCGTCCTCATCCCTGTTGCTGTACTAAGGCAGGGTGGCCTGGTCCTCAGCTGGATGTCCAGCCTCTGCAGGCCGAGAGCTCTCTTCTGTTCCCTGCACAGGGCCCGGCACACAGGTGCCTCAGAGAACATTTGTAGGTGTGACTGCAGCTGGAACAGGGGTGTGGGTCCAGCATGGGTCCCACCCTCAAGCAGCTGATAGTCACACAGAAGGTTGGAGACACACACAGCATGACTCAGCATCACGGGGATGACCCCCACGCCTCCACGCTCCCCATCAGTCATTAAAGTCAGCTCGTACGCTTGCAGTGAGACGAGTGAGACAAGAGGTCTGGCCTCAGGCAGCCCTGCTGTGCTGTGGGGTTTCATTTTCTCCTGCAGCCTGACTGTCCTCACGCGAATGCTCATGGTCTTCCAGCAACACTGCCTCGGTCCTTGCTGGAAAGAGGAGCTCCGGCGTGATTCTCGGACGGCGGATCAAAGAGTTCTACACAGACTCGCTGTACTAGACACTTGCCTTTGGTTGGGTTGTTTTGAGACTCAAGTTCAGTGTGACATTATCCTCAATGTGTTTTGTTTTCTTACAGTTTGAACAAGAAAATCAGCGCCTGATTGGTGAAATGAACAGTCTGTTTGACGAAGTGAGGTATGTGTGTGGGGTTCCTGGGTGAGCAAATGGCCTAGTTTACAACTTTCCCAGAAAGTAGAAACTTACTCATTTAGTTTGGTGCTCAGGCATCCACATGTGGCCCTTGGGCCAAACGTAGCTACCCCTGCACCTGGCGCCCCCGCCCCCCATAAGGAAACTGCCCGAATTCACTACCCAAATTGTGGGCCTGTGAGTTACCTTCTGTGGGCCACTCCGGGCTTCCGGGTGCTGCAGCCCCATCTGAGAGGTCATGATGGCACAGGTCACGACAGCTGCCAGGAAGGGACTGTCTGCACCTAGCTGCCCTAAGATGAAAGGGCTGAATTAAGTGTAGATAGGGACAGCTGGCAGAGGGAAGCCCTGCAGAGGGCTCCACTGGTGTCTGGCCACATGGTGATCAGCCACGCAGAAGGCCTGTGGCCATGGCCCACATGAGTAGGGTCACCGCCCAGCCCTCCAGTGAAAGCGCTCGGGCCTGTCGCCCTGGGAATGCCGGGAGCGTTCTGAAAGGACGCGCTGAAACTCTTGTTGCATCGTGGCCACTTCCCAAAAGAAGACGCATCCCGACACATCAGCCTCGCAGCCCTGGAGACTGAGTGCGGGAGTCTCCCCCTGACCGCCTCCCTGGGCTCTCTGGCAGCCTCTGCCCTCACAGGCGGGCCTCCCAGTGCTTCTTTGAGACGGTGCTCTTCCCACCCCGGCCCCTCCTCACTCTCCTCTCCTCTCTCCTCTGCTTCCCTCACCTGGTCTGGGGGAGTCATCTCCCCACCGAACATCGCTTCCTCCTGGGCCAGGAGCTCAGCCTCTAGACACGCACCCCCAGACCACCCCAGGGTCACCCGTGCTGCCCAGGCAACCGGGAGAGGCCCATCTGCTCTAGTGCGGAACCCAGATGGGATATTTTCAGCCGGAATCAAAGGAGGTTTCCTCTCCACGGAGAGTTGGTTTAAATGGCGAATGCACCCTTTCCTCTAACCTGCTGAGTGGTAACAGAGTTTTGGGTAACAGCATATTCTGGCGTTTTCTTCTGAATCCCCACCACATGTGACTGTTGCTAGGACAGGGCTCAGCATTAAAGGAGACTCTGCCTTTGTAACTGCTGGGTACAGCCACGTGCTCCTGGCCCCACGCTGACTCAGGTGTCAGGAGTCCCAGGGGTCAGCTTATGAAGTGGTAGGGGTGGGCTTCCAGACCATCCAGTACACCCAGAAAGCTGAAGGGCGTTAAAGGGGAACCAGTAAGGAGGGTGAGCCTCTGCCCGTTCTTCCTCCTAAGCCCGCGTCCTGAGCAGGCCACCGTGAGCCACCGTGGTGTCCCCTCCCTCCCACGCCTTCACTTAGAAGAGACTTCTTTAGAAGTGTGTGACATTGCTGTTAAGATCATCAAGTACAAACAGTTAATGTGTATGTGTTTTTTTTTTAATGAAGGCAAATCGAAGGGAAAGTGGTTGAAATCTCCAGACTCCAAGAGATCTTCACAGAGAAGGTTTTACAGCAGGTAAGAAAAAATAATTGTTTTCAGTTTTAATTTAAAGGGGCATCTACTCAGAACTTGGGACATTTCTTCTGAGGTCATCAGGCCTCTGCAGCTGTTTCCTTGTGGCTCAGCTGGTAAAGAATACACCTTCAATGCGGGAGACCTGGGTTTGATTCCTGGCTTGGGAAGATTTGCTGGAGACGGGATAGCTACCCACTCCAGTATTCTTGGGCTTCCCTGCTGGCTTAGCTGGTAAAGAATCCGCCTTCAATGCAGGAGACCTGGGTTGGATCCCTGGGTTGGGAAGATCCCCTGGAGAAGGGAACAGCTACCACTCCAGTATTCTGACCTGGAGAATTCCATGGACTGTGGGACAACTTTCCACGCGCCCCAGCCCCGTGAGGCAGAGCGCATGGGGCACGGGAGGCAGCTGGGTTGCAGTTCTGAGTGCCCTCGGGAAAGCTGGGGAGCCTCTCTGAGCCACAGTTTTTTTCCATCTATAAGATGGAGCAGCCTTTCTATGGTTGTCGTAAGGCACAGACATAACCCACGGAAAGTGCCCAACACAATGCCTGATGGGTAGTAGCTTTTCAATCAGCAGGGCTGCAGGCTCAGACTCGGCCCTCCCAGATGCCAGGTCCATGCCCCCTCAGGTGTCCTGTCCTCACAGGAAGTGTGACTGTTCTCATAAGTGGATTTTCATGTCATTTCTACCTGCTTACTGTTTGGAAGTTCTTCTAGCCACTAACTGACAAAATTTTTAGAAAACACCTGATAAAATTTCCCTTTTGTATTCAGCATCCACAGAATGGAAGGGTTTGAAAGACAAAATCATTTTTCTCTACTATGTTAAACTGGGCCACTTGACGTAAGAGACTCCACTCACAAAATGTCCCCTAAACCACACAGCTGGCGTCAGATCATTGCAGACTGGGCACTCAGGGTTGTTCAGGTTCATAGGAGTTGCTCTTTTTACGAGCATGTTGCAGGAACTGTTCTAGTCCATATATACTAAGCCTCCATTTAGAAGCCTAATGCTCATCAGTTCAGCCACCTAATACAGAAAACAGCTCAATCAGATGTCTCCCTCCCCAAGCCCCAGCAGAGCCAGACAGACAGCCCCAACCTGGTTCCCCGTTGCTCGCTGTATGACCTGCGGTACCCCCAAGCCCCCTCCCCCCCGCCCCTGCAGACTGGGGCCCAGGTCATGCGAGTCACTCTCGGGTGGAGAATAGGAAGTGCCCGGCCCACCCTGGGCTCTCTGAAACTGGGAACTGAACTGGGAACCGTTGTTATTTGTGGGTGTGGCTGCGGCCGACCTGGGCGATGCCCTGTCTCACTAGCACAGCCAGAGCGTCACCAATGGGCGGAGCCCACGTGCAGCGAGAAACACTCAGGCCCTGAGTGGCTGAGTGCACTAGAAGCTCTTATTCCACAACCATCGTGTCTGCTCCTCAGCCCAGCTGCCGAGGAGCACTGATTGCCATTCACGGTTGCTTCTGGTTAGGGGGCTGCTTCTCAGGTTGGGAAGCAGCTGTCCTGGAGTTCTGGACGGGCACCCCGCGGGGTGGGAGCGAGGCCCAGCCTGTGTCACACCAAGAGTTCCGGGGCTTGACCTGGGAGGGGCTTGCAGAGCACAGACTGAGCCGCACCTGGCTTCCCAGGATTTCTAAGACCCGAAAAGAGCTGAGTGTGTCTGGGGTTTCTCATCTGTGTTGCAACGTGGCTCTTAACAACACACTCATGGGAGCACCTGCCCTCACTGGGAGAGTCTCCAGGACGCAGTTAGAGAACAAGGCAGTCCCTGGCCCTCGGGTCTTACACTGTGTGGCTCTCACTGCTGGGAAGCAGATGACTGAAGGTCACTTTCCTCTCTGCGGTACCGGTTCCATGTCAGTCTGGTTTCCCTAAAACCCGAGCTTGTTTACATTCCCGCCCACCCCCTAGAGGAAAGGGGAAGGACAGCCAGCCCTACCCCTTAGAGGGCAATGTGGGGGTGCAGGGTGGGTTATTAGCCAGATGCTTCTGTGTAAGCCCAGGAGCCCATATGTAAGCTTTCCAAGTATTCGGACTAAAACTCTGCAAACTAAAGCGCCATCTTGAAGCTAGTGTGTGTGTTTTAAAGTCACGTGCACCTTGAAAGCCCTGGCATGGGGCAACCACTGTGATCGAGCGCGTGTGTGTTTGTCCCTTCCTGTCCGGTGAATGGACGGGAAGGCGGCAGGCGGGCGTGCAGGCAGCACAGGCCCCCATCCAGTCCCAGTCCTGCTACTTGGGAGCTGTGTGTCTCCGGGAAAGTTACTAAGCTTCTCTGAGCCGGAAGCTTCCCTTTGGTAAATGGGAGTGTTGCCTGCCTCCCGGGTGCTGTGAGGACTGGTGGTTCATGTGTGTAAAGCCCCCGCCCTTCGCATGTGGCAGCTGCTGTTTCTGTTGTGACGGACACTTGGGGAAGGAGGACAGTTAGGTGTATGTGCTGCTGTTGTTCTCCACAGGAAGCCGAGATTGACAGTATCCACCAGTTAGTAGTTGGAGCAACTGAGAATATCAAGGAGGGCAATGAAGACATCAGAGAGGTGGGTGCTCCGGGCCCCGAGTCTGACTCGGAGGCGCTGCGTCCAGGGCAGTGGTCGCCTCGGCAAGGCCGCACACGCTGGGCGGGTCTCAGGACCATGCGCGGGATGGACGGTTCCATGGCTCCATCCTGCCCAGCCCAAGGCCCGCTCACTGCCCTGCAGAGGAGCCGTTCTGGGGGGCAGGGGCCACTCCCTAAGTCCAGGCTGGGTGCCACTGGAGAAGCTTGTTGGACCCCCACTGAGGACCAGAGCCCTGGTCGTTGACAGGACCGCCAGGGTCGACCCTGTTGAGAGGACTTTATTTTTTGGGTGCAGTCCTCAGGTTTGGGTTGATGTGGGACCGCTCTTGGGCCACCACCGCCATCGCACTGCCAGGAAGCAGGCCAGGGTAGCGGACACGCAGGCTGAGCCTGCCTGTGTGGGTCTGACCCTGGGCGGACATGAGCTGTCGCTCCTGGGGGACTAGTGCAGGAGCGCCTCGCGGTGGCTGACCAGCGAGGGCGAGGCACCCCGTCTGTCTTCTAATAGATCTTAAGCCCACCTTTCGGTTTTGCTTAAAAACGGAGCCATCCGTGCAAGGTAGGCACAGGGTGGAGTAGCCCCCACCGTCAGCCCCGCAGGGGGAGCGCAGGCAGACACACATGGACCTTTCGGACCAACCCCCCCTCTCCTCCCCCAGGCCATCAAGAACAACGCCGGCTTCCGGGTGTGGGTGCTCTTCTTCCTGGTGATGTGCTCCTTCTCCCTGCTCTTCCTTGACTGGTATGACAGCTAGGCGGCCCGGCGGACGGCACCCGGGAGCCCCTGACGGGGAGTGGGGCTGAGACCTGTGCTCACAGAAGGGACTCCAGACCTGTGGCTTAAGCATGCAATAATGAAAAAG